ATGGAGCTTTATCGACTTACAAAACCCCACAATCAGGCCTCAGTGATTTTAGTGGAGATACTGATGATTTACACTGGTAAATCACTGAGATCAGGCTCATGGCCTCCAGAACAATTTGACGGTCCTTTCGGTAGCGTGCAGGGAGGTCAAAGCACACTTAGAAATTCATGCTAATCAAGGAAAAACAGACTTTCTAAAAGAAAGAAGATCCTTTATGCTGTTGCTAAGCTTTGATGCACATGTTGTAGTGTATACTTTATGCCTGTACTACTACTTAGTTCTTTTGTGGCTGTAAAGGTTATTCAATGATGTTTTTTGTTCCTCTAGCAAATAATGGAAATTGCAGCTCATAAAAGAAGTTGAACATTTCCCTCCTTCACTGCTTATGTGATAAGATAATTATTCCCAAAATATGCTTCTGTTTGCCTCCCAGCAAGGCGGGGGGAGCTGTTATCAAGTTAGCTGGTGACAAGTCACCAAAGTTGTGAGATGGAGAGTGCTTTGTGTTTGGAGATGTCGCCAAAGTGGAAAGAGAAGACAGGTAAGACCACCTGCTGTTCACATTTGAATAAGAAATGGTAAATGACAGAAAACCCAGGCTAACTCCAGAAAGTCTTCTCTTATTCCTTACATAGGGCTTTTTTTTCCTCAGCAAATCCTTTCCTGCGTACAGCCTGAGTGACAGCTGGTAAGGACCTTGGAAGACGGAACATAAGGTTGTACCATAAAGACACATGTTACACAGAAGAAAAGACAGAAAGTCAGGGGAAGGACAGCAATGAAGTGCTGCTAGGATGACTGCATGTTTGTGCACATGTTACATCTGTGTAATTCCACAGATTTCTAAATCTTTTTTCTTAACTGAATATGTTATATTACTATCTATTACTATTACTAAGAATTGCTGCATGATTCTTATTTTACATATATCAGTCCTTTGTAAAAAAGTTGCCTATTCACACAGTGACCTCCAGTTTTCTTACAGGAAGTGTTTGTCCTGTTCTCTCTCCCTCCACAGTTTCTTTTAAACATGCTTTCAGCTTCAGGCAGAGTTCAAACACTGAAACCAGTAATTTTTTACTCCTGGCCCAAGTCTCTTGGTGAGATCCTGATTTTCCTCACTACTGCTAATCAGGGATAAACCCACTTACATGACATAGTCAGTTCCCTACTGCTGCAAATGGGATAATGCAGCTACACTGACTGCCACCAGCAGACATTGGCCAAGTATAAAAGCATTGCAACACAAACTGATACCAGAGAGATCAGCTTATGTTTCTGTTCGTGGCACAAATAAACTCAATTTGCTCTCTTAGGTTTTTCTTTAAAACAACGTACTGAAATTTGTCATGTACACTCCCCACAGCTGCTGTTCTCATCTTTTATTAGACATATCTAATATGCAGCCCTTGTTACTTGACTTTTCTTTCTCACTCAGATGCTGTATCTTGGAGAAATTGCTGGCTTTGTATGTACAGTCTGAGTTGAAAGAAAACCATGGAGTACATTAGGCTTCAGCTTTTTAATTATCAGTTCATAATGAAAGGTTTTCTTTGCGGGGAAAAAAAATAATTTCCTGAAGGCTGAACCTCTGCAGGGTTTCCAAGGCTTGGAAGAAAATATCGATTGTTTGACAATGAGTCTGCCTGCATTCACGGTGCAGAATGGAAAATTCCAGCTTTGCCATAACCCCCTGATCCCAGAAAAGCAAGTAGCTATACTGTGGCAAGCTGGGATTGAGCACTGGGAGAGCAGTCCACCCAGACCTTGAGCAGGCACATTCCTTTCCATGTATACAAAGTGCATTAAAAAGAGAAAGAGATGATTTAAGTAGTACATCTCAGAAACTGCAGAGAAAATATGGATAGAAGTGCACTCTGTATGATAGGTCACAGTTCAGCAATTTTTAGAAGAAAATACAAATTGTTTTTTGTCTTTAGAAAGGTCTTTTTCTTCCCTGACTCTCCATTTTGTCTAAGTGCTAATCCTCATTAAACTATTCAAGCTAGAAGACCAGCAAGTCAAAAACGTAAAAGACAAACTAAGCTGAGTAACCAATGCCAAGTTTTTATACTTGAACATGTGCTGAAGTGCCAAAAACACCACCTTTGAGAGACTTTCTAATAGCTCACAATTTTCCAAGCAAGATGTACAGACATTGCCAGGGTATGCAGGCCTTTACAGACTTAAGAAACATAAGCTGTAGACTTTTAATTTCCTATAAATAAACAATATAACTTAAGAGAAGGCTGCCCCAAAGTGCAAATATTGTGAAACACCAAACGTGTTATAGGAATTGTACAAATGTGACTGCAATTGCTACGCCAGCCCAAAGTGAGTCTACAACTCATGCCCTGAGAGACTCGTTTCATTGCATTTTTACATCTAAACTGATCTTCCCTTCAGCTGAATTTAAGTCCTTGTCTTTAGTTCATGCCCAAATTACTACCTACTGGGAAAAAAGGCCCCCGTGGTCTCTGAGACACAGTAGATGCTGTCAGAGCAGGATCTCCTAGGACTCAAGGAGGCCTGCGCAGCCTTGCAGCAAGAGGAGGAGAGGCAAAGTGCAGGTGAACCAAGCCGCGCAACCACTGTGCCGTACTTGGATGAGGGAGGAGATGGCAGATTTTAGCGGTGGGCGCAGGAATCAACCTTGCCCTTCAGCCAGCCACCTCTCAGACACAGCAACTGCAGCAGGCTCTGTGTGAGGAGGTGCCAGCACCTCTTACTGCTTACCAAGTTTACCCTTTTACTGGTTACCTTGCATATAGTGCACTAATTTATCAAAACGTTTCCTTGCTGTCTCCTTTGGTATATTCAGTACGGAACTAAAACTGAACCTTAGGCAAAAAAGATGAACTATACAAACTCAAGCTTTTCTTTTGCCTTTTTTTGTCCCAGTGCTGTGACAGCCTAGAACCACAGATTTCATGTGATGGCTCATATTTTTTTATTTCTTACTAAAAGCATTGACGTGGTACCTCCTTTAAGACTGTGATCTTTCAGATGTGGTTTCTGCTACTCCTTTAACGATTGTCTTACCAACCACTGGTTCCTCAGTCTTTTCTCCCCTGTGTTGGGCTATTGATTTGCCCTGCACAAGCCATGCCTAATTCTGCAGTTTGCATTGGCAGTCTTCTTTTGTTCCCCAGCAGCCTGATCATTGCTTCACTACTAGACTGCTCTTTGCTTGGACAAAGTCATTCCTACACAGACTTTTTCAGATTCTCATGTCAAGATCAGTCTCCTCACATTAAAGATTTGTATTCCCCATTCCCAGACAGCTTTTCTTCTCCAATTTTCATCCCAATAGTTCTTTTCTGAGATCTCAGGTTTCTCTCCAGCTCCACTATTTTCTGATTTCTAGTATCAGGTCTGTGCATTGTCATTCTCTATGTGATTTTCCACTAATTTCTAGAATATTCACTATCGCCACTCTAACACCAATACATTTTTGCTAAGCCTGAAAAATGTTTATCCATCAAACAGAAAATACTTTTAGAATTTAAAGAGAAAACACTGTATTACTGAGAAATCTATTTTTGGTTTCTGGGCACTACCCGAGGTTCACTCTTAACAACAGAACTGTTCCTATTTAACATTATATCAGATGTGGTATACAGACTTTTTGCCTGTTTATTTGAAACACGGTCTTTAGAATCAGAATAATCCTACATACTTTGTCCATGCCTGCTGCTGAAATGTGAGGAAAGAGCACATGCTGTCCCCACATCATACACTAATACATATACACAGAACAATTCCTGTTAAAAAAAAAAAAGCTATCTTTTATAAACTGTACTTGTACCAATTTATGGAAATATCCTACTGAGTTATTCCTCTTGGGTGAGAATTTTGCAGTTAGGGCACAGGGTTTAATTAGCTGCTCTCAAGTTATTAAGCCAGCTCATAAGCAATGAAATTGGCTATTCTGCACTTTACCTCTGTGGTGAGCTATTTCTCAAATTCCTTGTTCAAAGTCAACACCTTCTATATCCATTTATTCTCTACCAAACATGCCTCACTACTTGCAACAACAAATAGGTTTTATTGTTGCTAACGCAAATAGTGTTACCATTTTCACAATTGAAAATATGTAAAAATAATTGTCTTACTCTTTCTCATCTCCTGTTTTTACCAAGATTTCCAGTTGTTCTTCTTTTCATTTAATTGCAGTTGCAAACTAAACCACATTGCTCAGCTGAAGAAGCATGGGCTTCCCTCAGGAAGCCACTGACTGCAGGAGAACAGTGAGACCTAAAGCAGACCACTGCAACCTGACCCGGCAAGGAGCCACAGCTTCTTGACGCTCACTGCCCAACGGACTGCCAGAAGCCCAGCGCGAGAGCAGCATACCACAAAGGCAACCTACAGTCCATGGGTGCTGGCAGCCCTTGTAGATGCCTGGAGATAGGAGTGCTAGTGTCAGCGGTGGGTTGGGGAGAGCCTGGAAGAATTAAAAAAGATAAAATTCCTCTAGTCCAAAGTTCTGAAGCCTGAGGTAGGTTTGTGGAACAATCAATTGACACAGAGTGTGCTGAGAGTACACAGTCTGCCCTGCACATGCTTTGAAGCACTGGATCAAATCACATATCACAAAAGAATTAAGCCGTTCCTGGAGGTTTCAAAGGCTAATACATGCCTTGCCACAGCCCACAGCTCCGTGGCCCTTCAAGCGACAGGTGCATTCTGCATCTTAATAGCAGGATTTAGAGACAATTCCCAGGTTATTCATTTCTGTCCTAAATCCAATATTGCAAGCTGCAGCTTACTTAATGTGAGGCAGCACTGTCATTCCTCCGCAAAGAGCCTTGTCACCTTTCAGTTCCTTGCAAAGGCATTCCCATTTTTAGTTTGCATCTTTCAATGTGAAATGTATCATCTCTAAGATCAGCAGTTCAGCTGTACTGTTGTTCCACTCGTTATTTAAAATTTTGTAGCAGAGGGACTGTAACAATAAAAAAATCCACATTCTACAGAAAAGGTCAGCATGTACTTACGTAATTTGATGCAAGATCAGGATGCAGATAATCAATTCCTGCAATAAGATAATGACAGAAGAGAAACAAAAGGTTAAGAGTTTCAAAAAAGATTTTCTAATCATCACAGAACAAAACAAGATTCCTTTGCAACCATAGGAAAATGATCATGGCAAATAATGCAACTTACTGAAGTGAGATTTTGGTTTTTAAATGTGGACTTTCAACCTGGTGTACCATTTCTGATGCAGTCCCAGCTAGGAGTTTTCAATCATTTATGTCAAAATCCAGGTGCCAACTGAAAACATGAGCTCAGCGACAAAATTTATTGACCTGTTTTGTAGACTACATTATATTTACTTGTAAGATTAGTTTAAATCACAACTTATCTTTATACAAGTTCTATCATCTCAAAGCATACCAAAACTAACATCAGTAAGCACTGGATCAGTACAGGAGTATTTTTAACCACTGAAAACTGTAAACTAAATAGACATAGAATTACCTAAACTAGACTTGGGGAGATCACTAAGGAAAACCCTTTGGATTACATGTATGAAAGCGAACTTTTAATATTGGATTAGACCATTTTAGCAAATATCTGAGCATGGATTCCACACCTTGGTAGCATGCTAAAGATTGTAATGGCAGTGGTGCAGAATATACTCATTCTAACGCATCGTATCTTTCCACGTATGGCAAATATACAAATCCCAGTGGATGGTGTAACAGAAGCAACAGATCTACACTCAGATGGGATAAGCTGACCTATTACATATCCAATTAAAACACAGAAAGAAATGGCCACCAATTTCATGTTACATTTTGATCATTACTCTGCCCTGTGTCTGCAACCACCACACCATTACATGCTCAATTTTATCCGCAAGGAGAATGTCGTATTATCGCGGTTATTCCAATGAAACGATTACCTCCCATTATGTAGGGTCCTTAGCACTACATTTGCATGAAGAGACCCTTGCACCTGCCTTACTGATGCAAATGGTAGATGAACAACGGAAGTCTCTATGAAGAATCATGTTATTCAGGTGCTCTCTTCCAGAACTACTGGAAACAAATATAAGGCAAATTACCCCCTTTTCTAAAAGCTCTATCTGATGGGCCAACAGTTCTATTTGACCTGAAGCTCAAATAGTTTGTCATCATCCCCATCACAGTCATACCCAGCTATTCTGAAAGCTAAGTCCTGCCTCTGTGAGATCAGTGAAATTGTGATTTTTTCATTACATCAATATATAGATGTCCGAGTCTACTTTCTTACTTCCACAAAAACATTGTCTTAGGACTAAGCAGGTGAGAAACAGAAATATGTGAGGACAGATCTCAGCTGACGCTAGATGTGGATCCAGACATTTTATTTAGTTTTAATATTATTCAGTCAACATAAAAGGAAAACATTCAAAATTTAGCCCAAAGAAAAGTGTTAAGAGACTGTACAGTATTCCTGTACTTCAGCAAGGAACCTATGGGCAGAACAGCTGTGACTTCAACTGTACCTTTTATCTTCATCTTCCCTGAATTTAGCCTCAAATTAGTAATATATTTAATATGCAGGTCTTTACTGACATTCAGCATAAAAGTGTTTAATTATTTCAGCTTTAAAGTATGACTTTGAGAATAATGTACCTGGAAAACATTTTCTTAAGTACTTTTTGCACAGCAATTACATCCCCCAGTCAGTGCCCACAGAAGTCAAGGGGAGTCTTTCCTTTGGCTTAATGGCCATTATAGCATGCTCTGGAAGATATCTGAGTGATAATTGGAAACTACTTTTAATGCTTGCATAGCCATGCTTTAGTATCCCTAGTGAAGACTTCATAACATATTTCCCCTGAAGATCTCAAAGTCTTTATGGAGGCTGGTAGTCTCACCACTATAAGCAATCCATTATTACTTTTTAATCTTTTTTTTACTTTGATTACATGGAAAAAAACACTTAAAAATATTAAATTAGCACCCAGTCTTCACTTACCATCATCCATAATTCCTATGGTTACTCCCTTCCCTGTGTATCCCAGCTCCCAAGCTTCAGCTACATTAAGGTCAAGTCCAGGAGTCCCATCTGCTTGACCAGTGTTAATCTAATACATCAGTGAAAAACAAGAATAGCTTTTTTTACTTGACAGACACATTTCTACAGGCACTGAATTTTGCTTTATGTCTTTGCATGTATCATTGGTATGGAAAACATATGCCATTTGCTTTGAAGTGCACATCTGTACATAATCATATGTACTGCAATAATGCAGTGTTAAAAAAAACACAAAGAAACACACAACCCTGCGTAAATTCACTTCTTTGTGGTTTATAAGATTTGGTTAAACACTGAATCTTTTGGACCCAAAAAAGGACTTTTCCTACTTAAGCATGTCAGGGCAGTGGGTCAATCCATAAAAAAGTTAGACCAATGGATTTTACAGAGGACTTTTTTATGAGCAGGAAATGCTTTTTTCTTGAACTCAGGGATCTACTGAAATTCAAAACCACTGGGTTTAATACCAGAAACAACTTCTTTGATAACCAAGTTAGCCCTTCTTTAAGCAGGAAAGTTCACTAGATGAACTCCAAGGGTCCTTTCCGACCTTGTGTGTGTGTGTGATTACTCATGTCCTCCAACCTCATTCGCAAATTTCTCAAGTTCCGTAGGAAAAATGATACAGCTTTTGCTGTTCCAGATGCAAAAATTTTCAATTTTGCATCAGACATATCTCATTTCAAAACACATATTAGTGTACTTTATAATCTAAAAAATGTATAGCTTCATAAAAACTTTGTTATTTTTATCACTGCAACATTTTGATTGAAGTACTAGAAAGAAGTGAATTAATGCACACTTTAATTTATCATCTCATCAAGGATGAAGTCCCATCCATGCTAATGTGCCCTCATTCATCTGAACACTCTTGTCTTAGTAAAAACAGCCATATTGGATAGATTCATAAAACATATGAAATGGATTAAAAGGAAATAGAAAAAGAAACACTATTCTTAAGCAAAAGGACCTTTCTTAAGTTAACAAGGCAGTACTGCATTTACTTATTTAATCATAAATAGGCTGCAACATTAAAACTGAACAAAATTACTTCTATCAACTTTTTAAATAGAAAAATATCATTTTGGCTACATCTATGTAAAATTTTAATTTTTCTCTTATGACTTAAGACTTCTCCCTATAAAATATGACACTTCAAAAATGAAACAATTTAGCAAAACATTAATTTCTTTTGACATTAGCTTAAGCCAAAATTCATCAGTTTTCAGCTGTTCTGCTTTTGACAGAAGAAAATCAATTAATATTCAAATTTCCATAAGAAATTAAAAACCTTAACTTTTTCTAGCCAATACACTAGAACTTTTTGTTGTAATTCTGTAACAATATTTTACCTGGCAACAGCTCAAAGACATGATTCATATGCAGTTTTAGAGGTCACATCCCACAGGACACCAATACAGTTCTCTTTCAAGCCTTCTAAGGATCTTTCCGTTGACTGAAATGAAATTTAGCTCTTGAAACGTGCTGGGTCTTCCCAGCATAAAAGAGGTACAGTTAAAAACAACAGGACAGAGCCTTGTATCCGTTCCCAAGTTCTTGTGACATATTTGGAAAGAACTCTTGCAAAACATTGCAACAGCACAGAATGGCTTGAATTCCAATTATTTAGTTACGATTAATGTGATTTTATTTCAAAACTTACCAGGTACCATTGCTTCGTAAATAAAGGATCATTCATGTTGATGTCAATATCATTGATGTCTCTATATCCTCTCTTCCTTCTGCTGAAGCCTTCCTGTTGCACAGCTTTCTTTACCTAGAAGGGTTAATTTTTACATGTTTAGCTCAAAATTCTTTACCACAGATACAAAAAAAATTTAGCCCTGTTTTCATGACAGATAAAAGGTTATGAAATCACATTATTTGTGTCTGTGTCATTAATTTGCAACTTCTAAACTTGTGGTTGATTTCAGTCAAAATTTGCAAAGATGTAGAGAGCTCAAGGACATGTTTTAGATGCCTGAGAATCTGCATAAGAAAGAGCCTCTATTCAATTATCATTAGTGTCATGGATCTTTTTGCCATACTTTTCTTTTATAGCCACCAATATCAAAACATTGTTGTTATTAGAAACTAAAATTATTTAAATAATTCCCAGTATGTCACCGTCTCAAGCTGAAGGCACTGGAATGAGGATGCAGATCTCAACCACACTTTCACTTTTTCAGATTTTTCTTCAGGGTGTTTTCAGGGTATTAGATAGCCTTTCCTGTCAAGGACATTTGCTGGGAAAAAAATATCTGGGGTTGTGTGCTTTCATCATACTCCTGAGGTTCTCAAAAACACATCTTATAGAGCAATCTACTTTCAGGCATTATCCTTGCAATAAATAAGTGATAAATAAATACATTGTCAAGAAAAATTAAATGGCAAAAAAGCCCATTAAACTGACCAGGCTGGCTAAAGTGTAAGATATGAAAATACTGGTTATGAAATATGAGGAGTCATAGTTTTTTAAGAGATCCTCTCCTTTATGAACAGCAAATCCACAAAAACATTATACTAAGCACTGCAGAAAACAAGAAAAGTTAGACACACAAATATCTTTGGAGGCAGGAATTACACATCAGACCATAATCATCTTACTTGTACCCAGTAAAAGAGCACTCCTAAAGGAGATCACTGAATGGTTGTAGCTGTTGTTACAATATGTGCTAACACACTCCTAGACCTTGCAGTTTGGCATACTCTTTTTGTAGTCTTTAGCCCAACACCTGGAACGAAGATAGCATGAGTCCCAGCACTTAATTAAAAATTTAAAAAATTCTTTTTTTTTTTTTTTTAAATCTAGCCTTCCTGATCAAAGAGGAATGCTTTAAACCATGAACTGAGTACACCTTGAGGTACAGCAAGAAGGCAGCAAAACCCCTAACATTTCCTTAGGCATTTTCTTGAAAAAAATGCATGGTTATTAAATAAATCTAGTAACTCAGAGAACCACTTCTACATGTGTGGCTTTGGCATTTCTGATTAAGACAACATATACAGGAGTTACACCACTGTGTTGCAGCAACTCATGTAGTGTCAAAATCAACAGAGAAGGAATTCATCCAAACACTAAATCAGATCTTAGGACAGTTGAGTCATTCTTGGAGGTGTCCCGTCTCTGTTAATTAAAGCAGGAGCCTCAAAAGACAGTGCTCAGTGAGGTGCCTAAGGCTGAGATGAAACTGGGATCTAACGGATGGAGGCTAAAAGCTATTTTCCTCGCATCTATATTGCTTCATTATAACCCTGAAAACCTAATACCAATTCATAGTGAGCAGGATGGGGCAGCGTGCCCTGAAAAGGCAATTTCAAATGATTCTAAAAATGTACTTGCATGAATTCTAACTCCTTAACTAAAGGTACAAAATGATAAAACTTTGAATTGGTAGGTGCTTTCACTTAGGTGTGTGTTGCCATTACTTCCGCCGGTTCATTAAAAGCAGACTGAAAAGAGAGAAAAAAACTAATGCAAATAAGCTGGAAAGGGGAGAGTGATTAAGTAGGACCCATACTAGGTGTCCTTAGTGGTGCCAGGTATTTGTACAGAGTAAAGAAAGGTATAAGCACACTGTTTGATACCTCTAACTAAGATAAGGCTCAGTGATGCCATGGAGACAACAGAGCAATCACCTGTCATTACGCCTTCCTCCGTTACCACCCCTGCCTCTCTGCTTGCGACTGCAAACCCTGAGCTGTCACCACAGAAAATAATTACGAACAGAAGCCAACCCTCACTTAGAGGGATGCCAGAGAAAAACATTTCCTGCGTTTGTGCTCCCACGCAAGCTTGCTGGCTCTGCAGGACCTGCTGCATTAAGGCACTGAATTAGGATTTAGTACAAAAGGATTTCTACTAATTAAAAAGCAATGCTTCGGAGCCATGGCTTTTCTTTAAGACAACCTGGAGGAAGTGAGGGAGCAATTTGCAGAAATAGCACAGGCTGGTTTCCCTCTTCAGGATCATCTGTCTGATTTGTTCCATCTTCACAAGAAAATATAATTTATTTTTTGTATTATATTATATTACATTACATTATATTATTATTTCCTGAGACAAGGAAATATACCCCTTAAGGACATATAACCTTCTCTGAACTAAAACCACTGTTTCTGTTTTGTGAAAATTTCATATGAAGAAAAGGCATACAGGTTATTACCATCTATGGCTGTAACAGCCTCTTTTTCACTGCAGAAACAAGGGGTTTTTCCTCACGTTCACTAATGATCATAACATGCAATCACATCCAGAAAAGATTAGGCATTTCTGTCATGAGATGAGTTGAAAGGTATGGGTAAGGCCTTGGTGGCTTCCTACTTAAGCTACAAATAACCTCATTTATAATTGGCTTATATAAAGATCTTAGCCTGCACGAGGCAAGAGCTTGCCTTTCTCCTGATAAAAATGTGTCTAGAAAGCAATGATCCCAAGATCAGATAACATCCTTATACTCCAGAGGAAAAAAAAAAACAACCAAACAAACCAGCAACAACAGAACTAACTTATCATTGGAAAAGGATGATGCAAATCCAATTATTTAGTGGAGAAGTGCCCATTTAGGGCTGCAGATAGCTGACTCAGGAAAACCACAGTCTTCTTGCCAACTGGTTATCTACATTAGAAAAATAGCCAGCTTTTCCAGAGCTGGCAACTTGTGCTTTCATATCTAGTCTAGAACAGGAGAGGGACCACATCTGACTGTTTCTATCTTATGGTTTTCTTCTTAAAGAAGGGCAGGCCTCCCTATGTCATCAGTAACATAAAAACATTAAATACTACCTTGCAGGTACTAGGTTTCAAAATCACATACAAGAGAGAACATCCCTGCATGTGCAATGGTAGAAAATAATTGAAAAATGTTCTGTTCTTGTAACAGCCATAATCCCATGTACTTGTGTCAAGTTCAGACCTGGAATCCAGCCCTCAATCCAATGCACAATGTAACCTCATGCCATCTTTTAAATACTCGTTTTTCTAACTGAGACAGCAAAACCAGTGTTTGTAAGACTCAGGCTTCTGATAATAGCACCTCTAAATTATTTCAGCCTGTGAAACATAATACTTATTAGAAACTAGTGAAGGAATGAGGTTTTACTAAAACAGCATTAATTTTACCATCTCAAAATTTGACTCGTTTATCAGCAATAACAGCCTTTTGTTTATTTCATTCTTAATTCATTTATTCCTTCTTCATTAGAATACTTGCTTAAGTAGAGAGCAAAATCTGAGCATCTACTTTATTAGCATGTAACTAAATCATGTAAAAGTTACTAGCTGTGTTGTAATCAGAATGAAGGTCATGTATCAAAGAAGGTAGCCCATGGATGAGAAGATCCTTACGAGAAGAAAAGGTTCAAGCATTGATTTTTAATATATTTGTACTTATGCATGGTGCATGAAGTCACTTAGATGATAATAAACCAGCAGGATATTGAAGCAGAACAAATTAACAAAATCATCAATTGACTGCAATACTGCTCCGGGAGGGCCAGAAACCGCAGCACTCTAACTGTGCTCTATGCTCCTGTGAATGCCAAGATAATCAGCTCCTCGTTTTGACAGAACAGGGTTAATTGTACTGGTGAGCTCCTGCAGTTAAATGACCCTGTTATACTGAGCATAAATGACAGATTTACTAAATTATACCAGTGGATGCACCAAAGTGGAACAGTACACACAACCCCAACCTCAAGAATCAAGAACTCCAGAACAGGAGAATTCGGGCCAAATTCCACAGGAAAAAGACCGGCCCAGTGATGACATCTAGTAGACATGGCTTTTTTAAAAGAAACGTAGCAGTGAGATTATCAACCAATGTAATGGTTCTTCCTGTAAAGCCTCAGGGTCGAACACAGGTCTGCTCCTGAAGGTGAAGTAAGAAGTTGGAAACCGATAATCTGTATTTTTTAAGAAGTCAGGCTGATGGTTGGACCTATGAATTGTACTGAAGATCAGTCTCCCGTGAAATATTACTATGAAGTTGGTCTGGAACAACGTGTCCAGATGCAAGAAGGCATCGTCAAATAAACCACCTTCAGCTAGCTGAAAGCTGTCCTGACTTGCTATCATTAATTTCTGACATCCAAAAAAACATGGTGACAACAATGTTTTATAGAAACAAAGTTTCTATAGACCATCAGCATTTTTACTTTCATGACATCTTCCAAATTGAAAACAATTTTCTTCAATGTATTGTTTGCTTAGAAATGGCAGGGAAGGTTGTGTTGATAAACTGTATGTTTCAAACACCTTGTGCTTCAACAGCTGCTGCATCTTTGCTGTGTAGCAGCTCCAACCGCACCTACCGAGGAGGCAGGACAGCTCAAGTGAGCCAGAGCAATCCGCGCACCTAACTCTCTTTAAAAAGTAGCGAGAATAGGTGTCATGCACTTACAGCAGCTTGTTGGGGTCTTATCCATAAATGACAACCCCTCTGCACCCAAACCCCAGGCAGAGCTAATGAGTGTGTTTTTCACCTCTGATTTCTGCCTAAGTAAACAGAAAGAAGTTTAATTTTACTACCCACTCCATCCACGTAACGTAAAAGAGGTATGTCTATCAGGGAAATGCTGATCCCATTCACAGAGTACACACTCACCACCTGAGTGTGTTTTTCATTTTTGTTAAAGCCCCAAAGTAGCCAAGTTTTGTGTGACTCCACTACAAAATAAAAAGAATGCTGATCCTCCTCACTAGCAAAAAGAAAGTACAGACCTACTTGAACTGTAACTAAAGTCAGATGAACCGAACAAAACTGAATCACTTTTAAA